AAAGACAAAGTATTATTCATATCACCAGTTGCCATTCCTAGGATCTACCTCCTCTCCCCCAGAGAATAAGCAACTCATTCATCCATTTATCAATGAGTCACCAAAATGTAAATAACCCACCTGAGGCAGGTAGGTAAAAAGAAGAACTAGAGCTGATCCCTTGAGTCCAGAGCCAGAAAGCTTTCTTGGAGGAAGGGATCCAAAAGGAGGGATTTGGTTCAACTCCAGAGTTGTTGCAGGAGCCATAAACCAAAGGTAATGACATAGATGGAGACTCCCCACCACTTTTTTTTTATAGCCCCAACTGTCTCTCTATTGGATACATCAAATCCTTATCCCCACATTGGACTGGGTGGGAAAGTAGGCACTTTTGAGAGGAGCAGATGATTTGCTGCAGAGGCTCAGTCCTCCCAATTAGGTTTGAAGAGAGAGAAGACCCAAAGATAGAGGGCATGGTGGCAGCTTAAGAGAGAAGGAGGTGGGACAAAGAAGCCACTCATCCAGAGAAATCCTCAACTGTGATCCCACCAAGCCCCAAGGAGTGTGTGCTGAATTAAGTCCCGAAGAACACTAAAAAACATTATCAACTTGAACTTTTCCTGCTGTGGGCACAGAAAGGAGTGGCGAAGAAGCTAGCGACCAAGCACAAGTTGGAAACTTGGCAGTGTTACTTAGTTGTGCAAACTTATCTTACCAAATTCATTTTCTCACCAGCAAAATGAGATTGATAATCATCATAGAAGTCCATTTTTTGTTACTATAACTTAATACCTGAAGCTGGTACAGTTGATAAAGAAAACAGGTTTACTTAGCTCACAGTTCTGGAGGCTCAAGGGCATAGTACAAGCATCAGCTCAGCTCTGGTAAAGCTCTCATGGAAAATGATACCGAAATAGTGAGAACATATGTGGGGACAGAGATGACATCAGCAAACGGGAAACCAAAGAGTGATTCAAATCAGGCTGGCTCTTCCACATGTTCTTAGGAAAACTAACAGGATTCCAAAGGACCACCTTAATCTTTCCCAAGGTACACCTTTAATGACCTGAGGACCTCCCACCTCCATCACATGAACTCTTGGGGGACAAACTACATCCAAAGCATAACACTCATAAAACCTACCTCAATGAATCATTATGGTAATTAATAATCACACAGCAAGCACTCAAAATGTCTAAAATTATATACTATCATTAAACATGATAAGAAGATAAACATTTTCCAACTTTAATTTTACAGTTTACCTGCTTCAACACATTAATGCCCCAGACACCTGTCCATCCTCCAATCTCATCTCAGTGACCTGCATTAGTAATGCACCACCAGTCATGTCCTCTTGGCCGCTGGGCAGGCAGGGAAATTCCCACTACACACTTCCATTCCTCTACCCTCCCATGCCCTCACATTCTCTGCCTCACAGGCACCTTCACGTCATTGGGTTTCTACCCAGGTCCTAGTTTACTGCACCACGATTTTACCTTCCACTTCCTCACTTCTGGCAAGTTTCTTCGAGAAAGTTTCTTCCACCAAAGCGTAGCATTCCAAAACTATATTCCAGGAAAAGTCCCCACCCACCAATGCACATACCTGAATGAGGGCCTAATTATACCATGGGTCAAAGTCTCAAGTTCATTCATCCAGCAATGTTACTGGATCCAGCAAGTGTTACTATGCCTCCTACATTACCATCAAATACTTAATCCCACATCGATAGTTCCAGAGGCCCTGTCTAGCATTATTCTGTGAATCACAAGCCTTTAGAAAATCAGCTAATGGCTCCTACAGCCTATGAGATAAATGTAAACATTTCTTTTTAGCAAAAATTAAGAGTCCTCCCTTTTCTCCGTTTCCCACAGCTCTTCATGCTGGCCATTAAAACACAGCCTAGAAAATCAATCATGCTACCTTTGCCTCACAGGAATCTCACCTGCCATTCTTCCACTTTGACAGTTCCCACTGAGTCCTAGAGATTTGGTTCAGACAGTTCTCCCTCTATGAAGGCTTCCCTGAGTTTGGTGCAGAGCAGCCAAAACATACTGACAGCACCTGATACACTGAGATCCCCCACTCCACCACATACACCCTCCCCTATGCTCCTCAAGGTCAAGGACCATGCCCTCCTCATCTCTATACCCAGGGCCTACCCAGTTCTGGTATACAGTAAGCAAAGTCAAGAAATGTGTGCTCTGTGCACTGCTCTTCTTTCTAGGTAAAATCTGTGCATCTCCAGCCTTCATTCTTACCATGTTACCTACCAGTTTCCATTTCACTGTCCTTGTTCTATTTAAAGCTATTTAATACAGCAGATCTCTGGGTGAAGAGGGCTTCCCAACCCTTATAAATTATACATTGTCCTTGGCCAAAACCCCTTCAACATTCCAGCACCCTGAGCCTTCCTTCTGAAATCAAATCTAATCACATTCTTTCCCTGTTCCCAATTAACCCATGTTAATTGTGCAGCAGAATGAAGCCACATACTATCAACAAGAATCACAAGTTTGAGATGGCAATTTTGAGCACATTCCTAATTGGCTAAGTAACCCTGGAGAAGAGTTAAAATGGAGGTGGCTATGTCACCAGGCTTAATTCTCAGAGAATCTTGGAGATTCAAATGGAATAGATGATGTTAAAATGTTTTCTAAAGTGCAAAGTACTATACCTCCATAAAGGACATGATTAACAAATTTTATCAAATTTCAATCATTGACTGTAAGATGTGTCATTATCAACCTAAAGTGGAAAAAAAAAAAAAACCTGTTGAACTATGACACATCCGTGATTATAAGACAACCAGATTTAGTGATATTAAAATGTTGAAAAAGTGTCTTAGAATTAATTTAACACAATTTATCTTAATAAAAACAGGATCCTGCTATTGTCAGTGGTACATAATAGGTACTCAGTAACATGTCAATTAAATGAACAAACACCCAATGATAATATTCTTAACCAAATTATCACCTCTCACTGAAACTGGGCAGCAGGAGGCTTCTCAATGTGAGAAATCCCCTCTCATTCATGTTCCAGCCTGCTGGAAACCCTCAAATGATGGCTTCACGTCATATCCAAACTCAATAGCTTGGCATTTTTAAAGTCCTTCATAATCAAGTCTCCTCTCCCACCCATCATTTCCTGAAATTGTCTCCCTCTCTTGGAGGCATCACCTCTCCACCAGAATGTGAATTCAAGAGGGATCCCACTCATTCCCACCATAACAATCAGCTCAGAGGCTCAGCTTCTCCTTCCTCCCTATCGCCAAGGCCAAGGCTAAGCCTATGCTATTTACAGGGTGCCTGACCCTGAGGGACTGTCTGACCCAGAGGCCCCAAATTTGTACCCCTACCATTCCAATAGCTACTCCTGTCTACAGACTCTACATTCTAAACTTGAGCACTGGGATTAAGGGCTGCCTTGCAAGCATCAGAAGCAAGATACATAATCTCCTCTTTAACTGGCCCTGGTGTTGGCAGAAGTTCTGCAAGGAGGAGGATCTTGATGGAATAGAGAGAACTCTACTGGGTGTTCTGTACCCCCACCTCGGTCCACCTTTACTCTGCTCTAGGGCTGACACTCAACTCTACATGTTTCCCTACCTGTAAGAGTGAGGCAAAGTGAGAATGGGAGAGAAGGTTAGCTCTTTCTAAAGACACCCCCATCCACTTCCCTTCCTTCCTCTAGAGATTTTCTTAAAATGCACGCGTGCAGGAAGAGGAAAAGCAGTAAGTCACTAACACATTTGTGACAATTCATTTTATTGGAGAGGCAAGACATCCAGAAAAGGGGATGAGGGATCAAAAGAATAAGGTGATTGAAACAATTTTAAGTGAGTTTGGCTGAGGAAAGTAGCTCAGAGATAACCCTGAGTTCTTGCTAATCCTTTCCTGTTGGAGGGAAAGTGGTGGAACCCTCCTAAGGAAAGGAAAGTAGAGTTTTCTTGGGACCCTGAATCCCAAAGACTCCACCCTGCCCAAGAATCCAGGTACCATTCCACGGACGAGTTCATCTCAGGTTATACCCGTCCCTATTCCAAACCTTATGCCCCCATTTACAGTTCATCTTTATTTCCCACCCTTTATTCAGTTATCTCTGATCTGCACTTGCCTGGCTGAAATACCCTTCCTCCATGGCTGATTGACTTCAGAAAATTCCCCATCCTTCAAAAGCAACAATCAAGCACAGCCCCCTCCAAAGGCCATTTCCTTAAAACTCTTAACCTTATATTTCCCCTCAGCACTTAACATTTCCTATTGGGTCAGGTTTGGCTTCTCCACTCAGTTGAGTGCTCCCTGAGGGTAAGATCTGGGCCCAACACACCAGCAAAGTGCCTGACACACAGTGGGGACTCTAGAAAATGCTTACAGAACGGGAAGTAGGAGTCCTGAGCCACCTACTTTATTTATGGCTCGATCTCTAAAGAATGACTTCGGGGAAGACCCTCCAGTCTTGGCCTCGGTTGCTCTAACTCTGAAATGGGAGGACTTGAATGACTGGGTCTCTAGGCCCTTTCCACTGTGACAACTGAGATTCCGCGAAAGCTCTAAGCGGCTAGGCGTGGCCCCGCCCCCTGGGCGCCCAGAAAGCCCGGGTAGGGGGCGCGCAAAGACTCCAACCCCGCCCAACCCCCCGATCGAGGCTTCCCCAAAACTCTGGGTCCCCCTCCCCCACGGCGTGCACCCGGTGATTGGGCCGCGGTCGGCACTTCCGCACCGCGGGCCTGGCGGCCGGGGAAGGGCGCTCTGCACCCCGCGCTCCTGCCACCCTAGAGGCGCTCTCGCCCGGAGCGGGCAGGGGGTTCCTGAAGCGCCCGCGGGCGGAGGGTGAGGGGGAAGGAAGGAGGATTTGCAACAATACCTCAGGGAGGAGGCAGACGGGGCAGCGGCAGCAGCGGCGGCTGGAGGCGGAGGCAGAGGCGGAGGAGGAGGTGCCCGGGCACTCCCCCTCCCATTGTCCCCAGCCCCGGACAGGCCCGGCCCCACGCCCCGCACCGGTCCGGGCGCCCGCGCCCAGCGCCCCGCGTCCCGGGCCGTGCAGCCAGCCCTTACCTTGCAGCGCTCGGCTCTCCCCGATCGCTAAGCTACTTATCCCGGGAAAGCTCGCGCGGGGCCCGGGAGCGAACCCACAGACAAAAAGTGAAACTTCGGCAGGGCTGGAGCGGCTGCTGGTTGGTGCCTTTCCCCCTCCTTCCTCCCCACCGTCCCCACCCCCTCCCCTCGGTCTCCCGTGCGGTGCCCTGAACGCTGGAGGCTGACGTCAGGGGCCTGAATTCCTGACTTTGCCTGCACGCATTTGTCCATGTAAGGTATGGGAAGGCGTGTGCCCGCGGGCCGCAGCGCAGCGCTCGCCCGGCGGGGGAGGGGTCGCACGCAGAGGGCAGTGACTTTGCCAAAAGGTGGGCGCACAGAGGGCATTGCATTTCCTGGGAGGAAAAGGAGGAGACGTGGGAATGTAGGGAACTTGCAAAGGAGGAAGGGAAAGAGGGAGGTGTGGAGGCTTGCCTCTACTGGAGGAAGAGGAAGGAGACGTAGGAGGAAGCGGCCGAGTTGAGGGGCAGATGGAGAAGTGGGGCAACTTGAGTCTCCTATGTCGGTGTCAAATTAGAGGACTGAGCTTGATCTCAAGTATTCCCTTCGACAGACCTCCTCCTGAGCCCCACCCCGGATTCCCAGCAAGACTCAAAACTTACAGGATGTTCAAACTGGCAGAGACAAACTTTCAACCCATTCACTTCACCCGTGAGAATGCTGAAACTTGCAGAAAAGAAATGATTTGCACAGAGCCTACGCTCAACAGATCCAGGAGCGGGACCCGAGTCCCTGTCTCCCCTCAGGATTGATTCCAGCCCGCAGGCAGGGTCCTGACTGCCTCCCTGAGCTGAGAACCAGGTTAGATATCAGACTAGGCAGGAGGACCACCCAGTGAAGTGACTTTGTATTTTCCTTCCAGAGCTAGTTCTGGGAAGGTTCTGGTTGACAGTGAGCCCTGCGGAACAGAGACATTCAGTTGCTTCAGGGTAACTTCCCCTGTACTGTGCTGAAAGAGGTGAACCCCAGGAGTCAAACAACTACAGCTTGCTCTGTACTTACAGCTTCAAAAAAAAGTATGCGAACTGGGTGGACTGGTTTGAATAAAGACAAGCCTGTTCTTGGAAGGTTCAAGTCGGATTTTTTTTTTTTCTCTGACGTTTGAAAATGTGAATAAAGGTGAGAACTACCATTTACTGTATCCAGGGGTTATTTCCTGGAAAGCACTCCAAACCTGTGACTTCCTTTCTTTGTGTTTCTATCCTATTCATATCTAAATGAATAATCCCTCACTGCAATATATCATAAAAACACTCTTTCATCTGAATTATTACATCTTCAAGTGAGTTGGATAGGATTAATTGTAGTCCATCTTCTACCTTTAAGGCAAAAACTCAGGTAAACGATTTGCCAAGCACAAAATAACTAAGCAAGACCTGAACTCAACTGCCCACCCTCCACCATACAGGTCACCTGATTCTGTGCTCTTCCCATGCCATCTTCCTGGCCTTTACCTCCAGCAGGACCTGATTCCACTCATACATGATGAGAGTACACTTTGAGTTAATAATGCACAAAAACTCCTAAACATGGTTTTTTTGAGGTTATATTTTGATGGAATTCTTTTAACCAAGAATTAAGGAAATAAATGTAAAAACCATAGGCTGTTGGACTCATTTATTGAGCATTTCTTTTGTGAAGTCTTTGAATTCAGATATTTCTGGGTTTAAATTATTTAACCTCTTTGTTCCTCTCAATTTTCTCATCTGTACATACAAAAATGTGAATCTGGAGGCAGAGAAAGATGACTGAGAATACCCACCCAGAGCCTCTCACTCCCGAGATGGCCTACATCCTCACTTGAATGGGTATTTCCTGCTTTATCCCCAAAGAGTCTCTCTTGAGATTGCCCTATTTCTTCCTTAAATGAGTATCTACTTTCCTAAATAAACCTCTTTCTATGGCAGGAGGCTGGGAGTGGAGATACCCACCCATTCCACATGATAATGAACTATTTTTCTTTTTACTTCTAACATGATTTTTAAAAATGGGAAAGATGAGCTCTTAAAGAGATTTTGTTCTGAGATTTTAAAAATACCAAATCCTATCACAACACAATTCACTTATTCTATCAAACATTTCAGCAAACCCACATCCTGAGTACTACTATTTAGTATGAAAAAAATCCCAGTATCACAGGAGGTAAGAATGGATTCACCCAATTCTCATCAGCTATAACGGGACTTGACCTGCATTTCCCCACCCACCCACCCCTCTTTCTCCCACTTACAAAGAATAATAGAGTTCTAATGAGGATTAATAAAATTTAATAAGGTATAATTAGTCATTCATTTCCTCTATCATGCACATTATAAGAGTGCTGTTTTGGACCCAGAAATGCTACTAATTATGTTGAAACTGTTGCATGGGTGTGTTGGGGAACATCACTGTTTCTCCTCCTGAAATATTTATGAATTTCTTAGGTAGGCATGGTGTTAGCATGAGCATTACATAATGTTAGTCACAAAAGATAATTTCCATTTATGAGGCCTTCACAGGCGTATAAGTGACAACATCATCAGTTGGATGCTTGGTGAACCGCATGTAGTACTAACCCAAACCAACATCTCATTCTTGTTTGCTATTCTGGTTTCTTTTGCACTGTCACTTTTTTTCAACATCCTATTAACACTTGCTATATGCAGGGGTTTGGACCAGAAGGGAAGACTGTAAATTTTCAGACTCAGTACTCTCTAGTACTGCTGGTTTATCTGTTCAGAGAATAAAAAAATGCACCATCTCAGGTGGGGTGGGGTCCCATGGTCCAAGGATGAAACACTGCTCTTTTCAAGACCAAAAGTAGCAATCTCATTAGTGTGTTGATGGCACAAAAGATTTTTAGGCAGGCTGGGCTGTGTTTCTACCATTCTGTTGTAGCTACTAACAATTCTGTACACAAGGATCTTTGTGCAGTTCATGCAGTTACAGGGCTGGGGACCTGCAAGCCTGATCCAGGGCAGCCACTGTAGACCTGAGGTCCTGGTTCTTGTGAATCCACCCAAAAGAATTTGAGGGAAACACAGTAGTAAGTGAAAAGTTTAAGAGAGTGAAAGAAAAGAGTAACGTATAGCATAGGAAGTGCAAGGACCCCCTGGAAGAGAGGATGGTATGGTGCTGATAGAGTTGAAGTTTTTAAGGAAATGAAGTCCCCTGTTCTTGCCTCGATTTTCCGGACCCCTTGATTGTTTCTTATACTTTAGCTACCTATCAGTAAACTTCCTTTTTGAGGATCTCAATGTTCTGGTTGACAGAGTGATTTGGTTGGCTGTGGCATAGTTGTGGTGATAAGGGAGGGTTCTGGTGTCTTGGTTGCAAGAGATAATGAGGATCTGGTCTGAAAACAGTAGTGTCCCTTGAGGGGTTATGACCAACTAGAGCTGGGGGAGGTCTTGACATACCAGACCCCACTTTTCGGATGCTCATCTGTTTCAGATAGGGGTCCCCAGGATTTTAGGTAACTGTTCCCTCAAGGGATTATAAATTTATCTACAGATTAGGGAGGATTGGACGTTCTAGCTCTCATTCCCAAATGCTTGCCAGTTTAGATAAGATTCTCTACTGTTTCAGTTTTATAACTCCTGGATTTTTCTTGGTGCGTAAGCCTAATGTCTGTCATCTGTCCTAACCTACCTAATAATGTAGTTCCTTTTTTTTTTTTTGGAGTGCATATAATATGCCAGGCTATTCTAGGAATTTTTCATATGCAATTCACTTCATAAATTGGCATAATTTCTCCATTAAATCCATGGTGAAACTAAAGCCTGGGGAGGCTAAGTAACTTACAGTTAATACAAAGCTAATACTTGAGTAAGCTGGGGGTCCACCCTGAGCCCAGGTAGCCTGGTTCCTCACTTACCCATTGCTCCCACATATGCTTTATCCATAATTAGACAGTAACTCCCATCCACACCAGAAGCTGAACCAGTGGGCTCTCCACCCCCCAAATTTGAGCTTCCAAACCTAGGAGCTAAATAAACCTCTTCTCTTTACAGGTAGCATACATTAGGTATTTCATTATAGTGTCAAAAAGCTGACTAATACAGTCATATTTTTCTAGGAATAACTAAGCACACAAGACAGTTTTAATATTTTATGTCCTGTTGTGTAGTCAAGTGTAGTTCTCTTTTCAAGATAATAGCACCAAGGCCATGGATGATGCTGACTCTAGCCCAGCTGGATAAGCATCAGCCCTTCTAAAAGAGGTAAAAACTTGATATGGTAAACAGCAATGGTAGGCTTTGTGTAAATGCAGCATTAAAGATAATGAAGAAGTTTACAAAAAGTTTGTTTACTCTCCATTCTTCATACCTCACAATACAATGGGGGGAAATAATCTCAATGTAAAAACAGAATACATCATCAGACTTCCTAAGTAAATTTTTTCTTCCTTTATTGGTACTAGATCTTTTCTAAAGGGAAAAAAATTATCACAACCTACTTTTATCATTGGCATAGCAGATTCAAGCCAATGTGCACAAATGATTACTTTTATCTGCCCCATGGGTTTCTGCACAGTTTTACCTAGTTTCCACTGACTGGCTACAGAGATATCACTATTTACATTTTGCAAATTTTGCAGGATCAGTTATCCACATATATGTTTGCCCATTCCGACACAGCTCGTGCTTCCAGTCTGCTGACTTGTGAGTTCAAGTAAACTGAGGACCTAGAAGAACTACAACCTGGGAACTGATGAACCTTCAGAGGTCACACAGTACAGGGTGCCAGTGGAGTCCAATCTGTGGAAGCAAGGATGCTAGAAGAACTTTAATCTTACTTGTTTCATGATCACTGTGAAGACTGACAGTCCATATCACCTTTTTGTTCTCACAAGTATCTACCATGAACCTATTAACTGTACTAAGCTTATGTATAGTGTTGAGAAAATAGAAGTAGTCCTCATTTTACATGCTAACACAAAGATACATAATACCAGCTTGGGAGGGTGAGGTCTGTTGAGATAAGTTAGCTGAGACTTCCCAATCAACTGTGGGTGGACTGAATCTACTGCTTCGGCTACAAGCCTCCTTTGATGGTGATGAGCAACCCAAGGCCCATTGGAGAACACAGACCTGGGGCTTACAGTTTTATTTTCGCACAACATCAGCAGGATGATGTCCAAGGATTTGATGGATGCAGCCAAGCCTCACTTACTGGCCCCACTGGTCCCTCTAGGAACTGCACAAAATTGTATTGTTGCTAAAGAGTGTCTGCTAGTTCTTGGGGATCTATGAATAGGCTTTGGATGTACTCTGCCTCATTCGTGGCTGGAATCCAGTGTCATCTACTCATTAGACATCACAGCAGATCTCAGGGCAGTTTTAGATATATGGAGAGAAGTTCATAATAGATAGATAGATAGATAGACAGACAGACAGACAGACAGACAGATAGATAGATAGATAGATAGATAGATAGATCTCTTTCTCTTTTAACATTTATATACATATAAAAGTACAACTAAACTGTAGATATATATTCTACACACTACACACACAAATAGAGTTTAACTGCAGTATAATTATTTGTAGTTTTGGGGGGGAGGTATAAAAAAAAACAGAGGTGCTTTACCACTGAGTCAAATCCCCAGCCATTTTTAATTTTTATTTTGAAACAGGGTCTTGCTGAGTTGCTCAGGGCTTCCCTATGAGACAAAGGCTGGCCTTGAACTTGCAATCCTGTTGCCTCAGCCTCCTAGTTCTCTGGGATTGCAAATGGGTGCCACCACACCCATTTAAGTATAATTTACGTAACATAAAATTCATTCATTTTAATCACACACATAGTTTTAGTAAACGTAGTATAATTATTGAATTGTGTAATCACCACTGCATTCTAATACTAGTGCAGTCCTATCAACCCAAAAAGAAACCTTGCAACCATTTATAGTCATTCCCATCTCCACCTAAAAAGTCCTACCTGCAGATATGTCTATCCTTGACATTTCATACAAATAAAGCATTCAATGTGTGGATTTACATGTCTGGTTTCTTTTACTTAGCAAGTTTTCAGAGTTCATCTATGTTGGAGCATGATATATTTAGACTTTTTTTATTTTTTTGATCAA